CCCAGGCCACCATAAGCGTCCTTCAGAGTGAGTCCAGCACCCTACAGTAGTAGTACTGTAGTCATAGAGGTGGCCCAATGACCCTTCCCTCTGCTTCCTTTCCCTCTTCCCCAGTATGATCGCTCACCCCATCCCTTGTCTTCGTTTTTCAAACCCACAACCCTTCTGGCTGTAGTGTATGAAAACATCTGTGGCAACTTTTCTTCTTTGCTGTCCTCTCTGCTTCCCTTGTTCCCCAACCCTCCTCTGTGTCTTTCTCCTCAGGACCAAAGAACTTGAGGAAGTCCGTGATTGTCCAAAATCATCTGCGCTGGGAAGAAGTGGGGAGGGAAAACTGGGAAGGTTACAAAATTTTTGAAAACACAAAACCAGGCAGTCAAAATGAGGGTAGTGTTACAATTATTTCTTTCCCTCCCCTTTAATTTTGTAGTAGGTTTCCTGCTATCTTTTTGCTGATTTCTTTCCTGGTGCCTTTCTATTTTTGTTTCTCTCCCCAATCTAACTACTTTTATATCATGTGTTTATCTGTTTGAAGCTCTCTGAATAGCTGCCTTCACCTGTATGGTTTTAAGTTTGTGTCTGCCCAGCCTCTTCCCTCCTTGTAATTTGATGTCCCACTGTTTTGTGATGGGAATGTTGCCTTGGGTGCAGTGTGGTGATGTGTTTTGATTGTTGAGCAGCATGTAAACTTGAATATCCATAGTTCCAGCTCTTTTTCTTTTCTAAAACAGTGGCATGTTTCTCTGACAGCAGCCCTCCACTGCAGGGAGAAACCTCCTCCCTGGGCCTGCCTATTCAGCCTCCTGAGACTTGCCTCTACACATCCTGCCATTCAGAGTTAGATGGCACAGAACTGCAATATGCATATTATATATTCCCCCACATCCACTCCCTGGCGCTAGGGACTGAACCCATGGCCTTTCCCTGAGCTACATCCCTAGCCTGCTTTTTATTTTGAGATGGAGTCTTGCAAAGCTGCTCACAATTGGCTGAAACTTTCAATCCTCCTACTTCAGCCACTCAGGATGGTAGGGAAAAAATGTTTTTTTGAAGCCCCATACATTGTCTCAGTCTTTTCAAGAGTTGCATCTAATTCCTGTTCATAGATAGTTTGACTTTGGTGAGTGACTTGGTACAGGGACCCTCACCCCAGAAAATAACCCTAGAAGTAGTTTGGATCCCATTCACACTAACCTTGATTCTGTTCCTTGAAAAAAGAGGAAACTAAATCTAAACCATGTTCCTTGTTCTCTAAGTGAGCAGCTGGATTGAAGTCCTCTTCATCTTTTGTAGCGGGAACAGGAGACACTGAACCCAAGAGCTTTGCTGGTCTCTTCTCTTTCTAGAAAGTGGCTTGCTTGCTACTTGTATGGTAGAAAGGAGGGAGAAGGCACCACAGAACCAACTGCCTAGGAAGAATCCCAGCCCTATATTAGATCTGGTTATAGATGAGGGGCCATTCCTATTTAATAGGAAGCTCCTTTGGGTTTTTCACATTATCTTCAAGGGCTCAGTGAGACCTGTAGACACTTCTATCTTAAAGAGTTGACTGATTTAGACAGAGTGAATAAAAGTAGTGAAAATACTATTTTCTGAGGAATTTGTTAATAACATAGCTAATATGATATGGGCCCTGAATCTACATATTTACACAAAAAATAGTAAATTAGTGCCTGATCTTTGTAAGCATTTGGGGGAAGGGGAGAGGCCTGAGAGGAGAGTCAGGAAAGGCTGCTGCAGTTGGCACTGTTGACTCAGAGAACCTGCTTCTGTGAAGGGGAAAAGAAAACCTGTCTATGTGAAAATGGGGAACATTAACCCAGTGATTTTTCTTTTCTTTTATTTTTTTAACAATTTTTTTCCCTTGCACGCCTTCTTCTCCTGCCCCCTTGCTCCCTTCCTTAAAAAAAGAAAACCAAAAACCGAAATTACCCAAATGGCCACAAAAGTCTGCAGAAATTTATAGGCATGGCCTGGGCTGGGTGTTTGCTAATTTACTTTCATGGCCTGACTCACAGCTTAGAAAGGCCATGAAAGCTAAAACAGATAAGACTTTGGGGTTGCCTGCCTATCCTGAGAGTATACAGCATCTACCAGTTTACTTTGAAACAAACTTCCTAACTTAAGGATGTTTGCATGTGGTTGAGCCAAATCTTGGCTAGTCAGTCTCCCTAGACTTGTCCACTCCATTTTAATCAAAGTTACTGGTTTTGGAGAGCTAGGCTGTTGTTTTTTTTTTCTTTTCTTTTAAAATACCTTAGATTAACTCCAAGTGAATTGTTTTATCTCAGGTGTGCCTGAGATATTGTCTCTGTGGGGAAGTTAGAGTCTTCTAACAATGACCTCCTAGCATTACTTCTCCTAGAGCTCTTTGCATAATGCAAGAAGAAAAGTGTGCCCAGTTGAGGGTATCTCACTGGCCACGGCATGTTCTTCACATGTGTGTGATGGGTAGGATAAGAGTCTCCTTCCCAGTGCTTCCAAATAGAAGTCAGTGGCAAGTAGCAGTGTTTAGCATCTCCTAAATAAAGGTATGTCACTCTTGGACTTCAACTGGGCAGTACTCAGCCATAAAAATAAAAGCCCCACCTTCATCCAGGTGCAGAATGTAGGTATGGCACTATGGCCAAAGGAACACGCTGTCATACTGGCTTCCATACACAGCAATCACAGGACAAAGCGCACCCCACAATCTGCCTGTGTTACAGAATCAAATTTAAACCTAGTTCATTATCCACTTGCTCCAGCTGACTCTCCTGAATCTTTAACACTTAACGGGGAAAGTGCTGTCCTTTGCCTTCCAAGAGTTCTTGCCAGAAAGTCTACCAGGTTGTTTTCATCAACTTCTTAATCTCCCTGAGCTGCAGTGGGCATTTGCATCACCACAGGTAAGAGTAGCATTTATTTTGGCCTCCTTGTGTTTAATCATCTGGAAACTCTTGGCCTCATTCTCAGAGTTCACCCTTTGTCGGTGCAGTCTGAGAGGAAGAACCAGAAGGAGTCCCACATGGGACAGACAATGAAATTGGATAATAAAAATTCAGTAAAAACTTTAAAAAAGTGTGTTTGGGTTTTAATGTTGCCTTGATATTTTTTAATTTATGTGGAGTACTGGTTCTATCTTTTTTGTTTTTGCTTGGTTTTGATTTTTCTTGGAATTGTGATGCTTTCTGCTGATGGTGTGTGTGCGCCTTCCATTTCAGGGTTTGCAGCCGTTCTGCTCAACTTCGTAAGGCCCAGGGATTTGGCTTCTGTCCAGTGTGTCTTGGAAACCATGGGACACCACTGCGCTAACATGTTCACATGCATCTGCTTGTGTCCTAGTGGCTGCTATGCCTCCATTATCTGTACATAGAAACTCCGTTTAATGTTACTGATAAGGACCAGTGCCGAATGGAAGATAACCTCTGTCCTTTTGCCTGAATTTGAAATCAGAACCAATTTATTAATTGAGAAAACTGAAGGTTTTGCTTTATCACAGGTTTCTTTCAAAATTCTCTAGTCAGAAATCCTACACTGGCTAGGAGGTCCTTACTTAAGTCACTACATTTTCCAGGTATCCCATGATTTCTCTATCCCTTTACCCCTCCATCCCCAAACAACATGAATTCCAGTGGAGGGAGACAGTCCTGTTTTCAACAGTTCAGAGTCAAAGGAACCCCTATATAAATAAGAGAGAGTTGCTGCGGAGATGTAGAAGCCAGTTAAAAAGAAATGGGGAGTCGTGTTTTAGAGAAAAAACCTGGGAGGAAGAAGAATAAGTATCTCTTTAAAAAAAAAAAAAATTATCTCTTACAGTGGATGGGAAAAGATGGTTAATTCAGACTTCACCTGAAAATGTTTGATCAAAAGTAGAAAAAGAACTAAGTATGGGAAAAGATTAAAGACAAATAACAGAAAACAAGGAATAAACATAGACATGTCCTGAATTTAATATAGCAATGAAGATTTCAGTGTGCTTTAAAGATAAAGCTTCCATGAATGATGTAGTGTGACTTAAAATTTTTTAGCTCATTGTGTTTCATTTGACTCATAGGATACTTTTGAAGGTAAATTGGTGATCCTGTGTTCTCTAAGCCCAGGATAGAACCAGAAAAGTGAAGTATATACCTTGTCATAGGGTGGAAGGTTGGGGTGGGGATGTTTTGGGAATGGTGATAGGGGTACAGAATTCAATCAGATTGGGTTTTAAGGCCCAGTTTTGCCACTAATAATTATGGCCTGCATAAATCATTTCACTTTTGAAACTCTAAAAAAGGAGAGGGGGTGGCTTTAAGCCTTTATAGCTCTTAAAATTCTAGGAGCCCATAATACCAAGACATACTGCACTCTAATATCATATTATCATAAAATGGAGTGTGAAGTGAAATTCTGAAAAGAAAAATTAGAAATAAATATGAACCAGAGAATAACTAATGGAATTTTTTCTCCTCAGTATTCAGAAAACGAAGAGTTCCAGTGGGAAGTTTGCTTTTAGGATCTGGACTTTCTGCATAAACAGCTATGGATCATTTGCTGTAGGTTTGACAGATTTAAATGTAGGAAACATCATACATATACCTAAGTATACTTACTACTGTTCCAAGGCCCAATGACTCCTCAGGGAGTTTGATTAGTTATATAAACAAGAATGCTTTTGTCTTTAAAACTGCAAGGTGGAGCCTGGTTTTTATAATTGAAGTTGAATTGGTTGGTGGTTCTTACAAAAAAGGTGGTATTTGAAATTGTAAGGGGGTTCTTGCCAGTACAAGCACCTGTAATACTCCCATTCTTTCACGTCTAGGCCAACTGGTCTTGAGGCTGTTGTCTGCGCTAGTGGTCATTTGCTTATAATCATTGTTTTTCCTTTCTTGACTCCAAACTGGTAAAGTGAAAGTCCTCATGTGGTCCTGTCTGCCCTCCCTCTTCTATTCTTCCCCTCCTACCCTACCCAATTCTCAGGCCAGGGCTGCAGATGCTGGAAAACTGTGGCCCCCTGTCATTATGCACTCTTATTACAGAACCAAGGATTGTCACCAGTGAAGAGGTCATTATAAGAGAAAGCCCTGGCCCTGTCACCCTGCAGTGTAACCTCACCTCCAGCTCTCACACCCTTACATTCAGCTACTGGACAAAGAATGGGGTAGAACTGACTGCCACTCGTAAGAATGCCAGCAACATGGAATACAGGTGAGAGGGGCTGGCAGCTACTGGGACTGTGGGAAGAAGCAGAGCTCTGATGGCTTTGATGTTCACACTCCATATCACCAGGAGTTTACATGTACATGCTGAAATGGTAAATTTGAAAATATTATTTAAAAGACATTTTGCACCAGGGATAGTGGTGGACACCTGTAATCCCAGCTCCTAGGAGGTTAAGGAAGGAGGACTGTTACAAATTGAAGGCCAGCCTGCGCTGCATAGTAAGACCTTCCCCTCTCCCCTCCAAAAAGCTGTTTTATTGCAGTGAGTTGAACTGTTAATAAAACTGTGACCTTTGTAACAACATGTTCTTACTTCTTTAAGGGGCTTACCCTGGTGTATTTCAGGACTTACTGGGAGTTGTTAGGTACATGTTGAAAAGATGAACCTGAGAAAGTTTCTTCAAAAATGCAGTGTGAACTCTTTATTTCTGTGAACTGAACTGTTCACCAAACGGTGAACTTTGTTTGACATGAGATGTATTTGGTCCTCACCTGGATAATTTGATATCTCTGATGTGAGGCTGAGGAATTTATAAAAGACTCCCAGATTATTCTAGCAAGTAGCTAGGTTGAAAGATAACAGTAACCTCCTCCCTGTGGTAACACTACGGGCAGCTGTGTGAATCACAGGTAGGATTGCCAGTAGAATCCAGCCCTCTGACCTGCTCTAGTGCTTGGAGGGATCAGAGTGAAGTCTGCTTTGAGACTTGGAGGATGAAACTTCCTGAATTACCTTTCAGGAACCTTACAGTCACCCTGACCTGATAGTACCAGCAAGCCCAGGATCTGCAATGAGGATGGTCACCTGGAAGAAACCTCTGGAGGGGAATGTTCGCAGGTCTTAGTTAATTGACACCCAAAGAGTAGGTGCTTTTTGGAACATCTTAAACACATGACACCTCGTTTTTCAGAGTAGTTTGTTTCTGGCTGGAAATCAGTTTGGAAAAGGATTGGCTAATCCTGCTTGGCAGTTGATGCGGTGCAGAGAAAGCACTGGACTGAGGCCAGGGGAGCCTGCGTGCCCAGCAGTAGCAAGGGCATTGTGCAGTGTTTACAGTGTTGAGAACTTTGACACCATCAGGAGAGCCACAGAAGTTTGTAGATTCTTTCCCTTTCTTCAGGTGAGAAAACTATATGCCCCAAAGTGTAATTCGTGGCTGCTTTGAAGGTCACATACTGTATTTGCTAAGTTTCAGAACAAAGACTAGGTTCTAGGTCTTTGGCCTTTTTAGATTTGTTGCAGAATTTTTTCTTCCCCTGCTACACCAGTACCACTTGGTGGTGAGTTAGTAACTATTTCCACTGTAGTTTTTCTCTGATACCAAAGTAGAAATACAGCCTCAGCTGTATCCTCATGGTTTGAAAAGGATTAATTAATTTGAGATGTTGGGGTTGAACAAAGGTATTTATTCTTAGTCTGCCCATCAGTTTTACAGGTTTTTTTTTCCTTTTCTCTTTTTTCCATTCACCAAATAGTACCTGTTTTAAGGTAGCAGCAGGCCTCCAGTGATACCGGCGTGGGGTTGGGCGTAGGGAGGTCTTGCACTATTGCCCACAAAGCTTTGAGCTATAACTTCAAGATTTGTCCTGGCTCTATGCCTGCTCTCTCCCTCCCCCCCCCCAACATTCTAAGATATTCTGCATCTCTAGTTTTTCCAGATAGTCCACATTTGTGGAATAACAACTAGAGCTATTCCGTTGAGCTTCAGTAAGTCATCCATAGAGCCAGGTCTAGAAACCTTTTGCCTAATGTGTGGGGACTCTGTGTGCTTCATTTCTTGGCCATTGTCTAGTTAAAGGGGATGGTGGGGGGGTGGGATTCTAAGCCCATACAGCTGGCCTCAATCTAGGGAGACTTCTTCCCTGGTTTATCTAGGGGAACTTAGAATTGATCTGAGCCGTAAATAAGAGTGACTACTGCTTCTCCTCCTGCACATTCTGGAATACTTGTTATGAGAGCAGCTGGCCTCCATCTATTCCTATTGAGAGCAGGTTGAGTTTTAAGATGTTTGTCAAATTGAGAAGATACCTTGACTGCTCCTATTAGAATATTAGGCTGTTGTGGACTTGCGGAGACTTGCCTGGGAGTGGGCTATTCCTCTTCTCATCCAGAGTGAATCATCCATATTCTCAGTCCTTCCTTCCTTCCTCCCTTCTTCCCTCCCTCCCTCCCTCTCCATCTCTGTCTCTGTTTGCAATACATAATTGTTGAAAAGTTTGTTTTGCTGGTGATCTTCAGTCTCTTTACTCTCTTTCCCCTTCCTCTTTCCCAAAGACTCTGCCTCATTCTGGGTCTCTTGTGTTTCATTTTTGGAATGAACAGTAAGATAGGCACATGATTGGGCCAGTAAGTGGATAAGTTTTTTTCAGTAGATGTTAATTAGTACAGTATAGACTGGATTTTAACAAGTGTCATATTTTAACCACTAAGAAAAACAGCAGGAGTCAAGCTCTCCTGGGGTTTACTTATCCCCTGATCTGAAAGCTCTTGATTCTCTAATTTTCTGTAATTACTCAGCAGTCTTTCTGCACATTTGGTGTGTATGTATACCAGAGTGTACTGAGATGGTGTGAAGTTGCCCACAGAAACAAGAAAGCTGGTTTGTGATTACTTGCAAGATTGAGAGATGTGATCCCACGTGTGTATTGTGTCCTTCCTCTCTGCCTAATTTGGTCTCGGTCAGTGTATAGTTTTTCATTTTGAATTTGTGTTCATTTAATCATTTATTGATTTCTTTACTGTACTTCAGGCACACAGGTGAGGTGATGGTTATAGGACTGTGCATCAGTTAAATAGTGCCTACCCACATAGAACTTGTTTGCTAGGGAGTCAGTGTGAATCAAGTAGTCACATACGTACATGCATAATTGCGCATTGTGATGCGCGCTCTAAAGAATCACAGGGTCATATGAGCTATCTCCCTGGCCCTGATAAGGCTTTTTTTTTGGTCTTAAACTGCATCTCTGTGGCTAATATTCTGTTGTCAGATTTTGTTGCTTGCTTAAAAAAAAACAAAACTCAAAAACACTATACCTGATTGCTGTCTGTAACTTATAGAGGGCATGCTGCTAAATATTTAGTCTTTAGGAATGCTCAGAACCACCCCTCCATTGTTGTTTCTCTGAGTATAACTATGAGGCAAGAAGCTATAGTGGTTGTACTGTCCTCTAGACCTCAATAAAAAAATTTAGTATTTGGTATGGGCCTGTTTTTAAATCAGATTTTATTGGTACATTTTAGATACACATAATGATCACATTCATCATAGAGAATTTATACTTGTACATGATATAACTTGATTCTTTTTTCCCCATTCTCCTTCCCTTCAACCCTTCCTCCCTTGGCCCTCTATTTTGATTACTTGCAGTTTTTTTCTTCCTAATAGACTGGAGTATCTTTAAGATTAGGGGCCATTAGTTATTCCTTGTGTTCCTGGCATCTAGTAAGGAAAAAGGTATACATGCTTTGGGATGCACAGAGGAAAGTTTTTACTTTTTGTTAGGAACAGGTAAGTTGTGTTATGGAGTAGGATTTGTAGAACAGGGTCCCTGCTACCCCCTTTGAGCTTCTTTTTGCTGTATATTCTTATCATACTCAATTACCTCACTTTCTTTTTCTTTTCATCTCTGCAGGATCAGTAAGCCGCGAGCTGAGGATTCAGGCGAATACCACTGTGTATTTCATTTTTTCAGCGCTCCTAAAGCAAATGCCACCATCGAAGTGAAAGGTACAAACTGGCAGACGCCATGGTAGTAGTCTCTTGTTCACTCTAAGATAGCACCTTGGTTTAGACAGTTGTCAAGCTGTTCTTTTTTTTGTGGAACCAGGAATTGAACTCAGACCCTTGTACTTGCCAGGGAATCACTTACTCTACTGAGCCATCTCCCGGCCCCTTAACTTTTTTTTTTTGGCAGAACCGGGGATTGAACTCAGGCCCTTGTGCTTGCCAGGGAAGCGCTTATTCTACTGAGCCATCTCCTAGGCCCTGTTCTTATTTTCATTTTGAGACACATTATGGTTAGGACCACAGATTCCGGAGCCTGACTGCCTGGGTTTAAATCCAAACTCTCTCATGTATTAGGCAAGTTACTAGCTTCTGATGTAGGCAAGTTACTGGCTTCTTTGTGCATTTAGTTCCTTGTTTGTAAAATGAGGGTATCAGTAGTATTTACCTCACGGGTTTGATAGGAGGCCTAAGTAAGTCAATGTAGTAGGTTGGTCTATACGAAATGCTGTTTTTATAGTTCATGATTAAATGTTGGCACCTTGGATGGCCTAACCTCATATAAAAGCTCTTAGTCCAGTGCTTTGCGTGTTATAACATGGGTGTCCAGTGAGTTGGCAGGATTGGGTGAAGTACAGCGTGCAAATGAGTATAAACCATTTGTGGGTAATTCATAAATTTAGTAGAAAACCTGTGGACACATAGCATCTTACGGGTGAGGCCATAGTAGATTTTAAGAAGGGCAAATTAAGAGTTACCTAACATTATTTGTGTCAGTTTTCCTATCATATTCACAGGAAGCAGCCAAGACACAGAAAAGAGAAACCTTGCCAGATATGTGTGCCACGGTAAGCTGGTGGCAGAGCTACCATGGAGCCCAGGTCTTGACTCCCCAGTTTAGTCTTGCTCCACTGTCATAACAAGACCAGGGGAGGCAGGCCTTCTGTTTGAGGTTAGAGTGGAGAGGTGAGGTTTTTAAATTTTTCATTTGCTTAGGAAGAACACAGATTTCTTTAAATCTATAGTGTCATCTCAAGAAACCAGATAGATTTAGGATAAGGAACCTATTTAACAGGTATTGGTCTTTAAAATAGTTAGAGGATTAAAAATCTAGATTTGTGCTGGGTGACATAGCTCAGTGGTAGAGCTCTTGCCTAGCAAAATAAAACAAAACTTGAAGACTTAGTTTCCATCATCTGGTAAGAAGTGAAAGAAGTAGTGTATCTTTGGAACCTAACCCTAACTTGTGGAGGAAGGGACAGTTTGTGCCTCCTTGGGTTGTCACAATCCTCAAGGCCTGAGCAGGTAGAGTCACAGTGGTTACAGGTCACACAGGAGGCTTGGTGTTTGACTTCCTTAGTGGCTTTTCTTGGAAAAATCTAGGTGCTTTTCTGGGTTTGAAGAATGCCACATCTGTGCAATGTGAGGATGACTGGTGTAAGAGGACGTTTTTGCTACAACAGTGAAGGCCTGTTCTAGCCAGCTGAGCTGAGCTGTGTGGAGATTTCCACATAGGAAACTTGAGGACCTGCAGCAATTGGGCTGAGCTCATGGCACAGAGTCTGAGGAGCGTGCGTGACAGTGAGAGAGGAAGATTGGCCTGTCTGGCTGGTGCTCTTTCTCATGCCCAAGGAATGAATAATTTTATACACAGCTGCAAGTCCTGGCTGACTGTGATCCTTAAGGATTGGTAGGTAGGTAATCATTTTTCAGGGTAGAAGCAAAAGGGTTTTTCATTAGTTTGGCTGCTATAGAAGGTGGGGTTCAGCAGCCCCAGAGTTATGAGTTTTCACCTTTCTCCAGCAGATGTGGTAGTAGTGGAAAGGGGCAGAGCATAGGTGGCTGCAGTGCGTATGAAGTTGCAACTTGCATTGCGTCTTCCGTGGTGCTATACTCTAGGCTCTGGCTGCTTCATTGCATTTGGAATGTTGCACTTCTGTCATACCACAAGGGGGAAGACAGAGCAAGTGGTGGTATCCTGGATTAAAGAAGCAGACCTTGAGAAAAGTGTGTTTTATGAAATCCTGATGCATATTTTGTGACTATATTAGATATGTAGTTAGCCTGTCAGGGACATTTCATACGGAATTTAGTCTTCTGGTGAAGGCTATGAAGAACATCTGTCCTTTTCTATATAAGTTAAAAAGGTTTACACAGGTCTAGGATCATATTCTAAGCTAGCTTCTAATTGTAATTGGTAGAAAACATGCCATACATTTAAAGTGAGGTTTGTGTTAACTCTCAAACCACTGTCATATATACTCTTATTTTATTCCCTTAGTGCCTCCAGGGTAGGGTGAGAGACAACTAGTTATTTTTATAGGGACAGTGCTTTCAAAAAACATCTACTGAGTAATAGGTAAGAGGCGAGTGTACTTGAGACCAAAAACACAGGGAATTCAAGAAACATAAGCGACCTTTTTACTGAAAGGAGACCCTGAGAGTCTTCTCTCTTTATGGCTTTTGATGAGTCAGCACTTCAAAGCAACGATAAATGTTTCTTCAGTACTTATTCAGACATTTCTTCCTATCTGGCTTTTCCTGGCTTTCAGAATATATGTAGGGAGTTGCTGGGGGCCCAGCACTGTGAGAAGGGAAGGGCTCAGCTGAGTCAGGGACTGGACATTATGTGTTTACATGTAGTGGTGAAAGCCTTACATCTGAAATAGGCTTTTCCCCACTTCTTTTAAAGGACAGGAGTAAGGCATGGTGTAACTAGGACATTAGGATTTCTCCTGAGGGTTGTGTTTCTCAGGTATTTGGCAGGTGATCTGGAATGGAGGTAAAGGTAGAGCCTGGTTGGCCAGGTGAGAGGAAACATCTGTGACTTAGCCTGAAGCCTGGCTTTTTCTGGGCTCTTCTTACCTCACTTTGTGACACTTCAGAGGTGGTGGCTTCTTGATTGTATGCCTTATAGAAGATTTATGAATTAGGTGTTCAAAATTTGTAGCCCTTTATTCTTCAGCCCTCTGCCCCTTATTCCTTCTGTTTTTTTTTATCCTTTTCTGAAATTAAAATATATACTCAAAAATCAGTATTTCTATTTCATTTACACCGTAAAAAGTAAAATTTCCTCTCATGAATCCCAAATTCTATCCTCATTTCTCTGCCAGTTTACTACAGAAGACAAGGAATTTGTTTTATCATTTTGGTGGTCATCAAAACCTCTGCCGCAGACACACCACAGGCTCTGGTATGAGGTGCAGCCCATTCTCAGAAAATGTGTACCTGCTGACATAGTAGAGCCACCTCTTGCAGCTCACTAGGCATTTCTAATGAGTTTATGGCTACAAAAGTCACTTTGGTCTTGTGTTTCCCTCTCCCCACTTCTTGGTTTCTTGGCATTATTTTTTAGGACTGAATGTTAGGATTTCTAGAAGAGGGTTTACCTTGTTTCCACTTGCTGCGGTCCTAGTGCTTCACCCCTGACCCATCTCAGAGTCCAGACAGCTGAGGTGGACTGTGTGGGGATGACGAGTATCAGTGAGAGCAGTAATACAAGTCTCACGCTTGTGTAGCTCCCTTGGAGTCCAGACAGCAGTATGTGTACAGGCATTTCTTGTCCTTTCCAAGTTATTCCTGACCTTCGTTACTAACAAGAATAGCTGACATGACTGCACTTACTACTGCAGGTCCTTTCTTCTTCAGTCTTCACAGCTGCAGTGGTACATGCTGTTGCTATCTTGCAGTACTAGGAATTGATGTGGGACCTTTACTAAGCTAGTATTCTTTTTTTTTTTTTAATGCTTCACGAATTTGCGTGTCATCCTTGTGCAGGGGACATGCTAATCTTCTCTGTATCATTCCAATTTTAGTATATGTGCTGCCGAAGCGAGCACACTAGTATTCTTTTTAATTTAAGAATTACTCAGTGAATTTTAAGTACATGACATCACTTTTTGTGTGTGTATCGGGGGGTCTTTTTTTTTTCATAATTTTATTGAGAAACAAATAGCAATGAGACAGTTTCAAACCAAATTGGTAGGACAGTTTCAATAATTAACACATTGCATACATTCTTCCTAGTGGTTAATTGCTGTACAAGATGCGGACATGATAGCCTATTTACAAACACCATTAGAACGAATCCCTCTATTCATTAAGAGAATGTAACTATCTATCCTAACCACTTTGAATACACAGATACAAAATGGACATTCATCTGTATCCCCTTTTTTTGTTAAGGGGGGTCTTTTTAAGATGGTTTATCCATGAAGTTCAGGCTGGACTTGAACTCGCAGGGATCCTCCTGCCTCAGCCCTCCCAAGTACTGGGATTACAGGCACGTGCTACCATACCTGGCAAAATCACTTAATTTTAAATGTTTTTAAAATATATGTATATCAGTTTATAAAAGTAATGCTACCACCTACATCAAGATATTGAAGAAAAATCTTACATATAAGTTTCTCGTAACATCCTTATTTTTGCCTAATAAAAATGTTAACTCCATTTCTATGACCTAATGGTCTCTACTATTTCTTAAACCTTTTAACTTGTTTTATACAAATGTGAGTATCTTGAATCAGAGATTGATTAAAAAAAACCTTTAATTTGGACCTTATTAGAAATTTAACCAGTTCATGGGTATAATGTATTCTATCTCAGTCAGTATATTTTATGCAAAATTTAATACTTCCTTGGTTTTTCTTTCTCACTAATTTTCCTTGGTTTTTCATTTGCTTCCAATTCCAGAAACTTGGAGTATATGTAATCTAGTTTTGTCCTCAACTCAGTGGCAAACTGACTTAAATTAATGACCACTGAAGCAATAATTATTGGTTTTCCCAATTCAGCACTTCATATATATTCACTTCTCTCCAACAGTGCTTTGAAAATTTTCTTTTTACATTATCCATATTAACATTATGAACTTGTTAGCTTTTTTTAAAAAAAGAAAATAGAACTGTACTATTTTCTAATTCTGTCAAATTAACATTTAGATTGTTGTTACTGTTCTTGACCTGCCCACGGTGACAAAGCCCTTTTATCTAACATATATA